AAAGCCGCGGCGGCGACGAGGCCGGCGGCGAGGCCGGCAGCGCCGCCGGGCAGCTTGGTCTTGGCTGGGGGGAGGCGGGGCGCTGCCTCGCGGACCAGGGCCGCCTGCGCGAGCGGCGGCGCGGAGAGCTCCTGCTTGGCGCAGTCCGCCTTGCAGCGCGCGCACGGCGTGGTGTGCGTGGTGAGGAAGCGGCCGCACGAGGAAGGCAGGACGCCGCGCTCGATGCCGAGGGCGGCGATGCGGCGGAGCTCGCTCTCCTTGTCGCCGCGGCCGCCGCGGCCTCCGGGCAGGCTCGAGTTTGCCCACAGCGTCGGCTCCGCCACGAGCCGCGCGACGCAGCCGAGCGCCTCGGGCACCTCGCTCGACGCCGCGTCGAAGCCCGGGTGGTTGAGGGGCGCGGTAAGGTGCCCTCCCGACCAGCCGACGGCAGCCGTCTCGTAGGAGCAGCGGTACGGCTCCTCGCGCCCCTTGACGAGGCGCATCACCGAAGGGACGTAGCAGACCGACCCCTCCTCCTCCGTCCGCTCGTCGCAGGCGCCGGCCGGGCCTCCGTACTCGACGCACTCCGACGGGCAGAGCAGGCCGCCGACTCGGGCCCACTCGCGGAAGGGGGGCGCCGGAGGCGGGGAGGGGGGCGAGGGGGGCGAGGGGGGCGCCGGCGGCGGGGCCGCCGAGCCGGCCTCGCCCCCCCCTCCCTGCACTCCCTCGCCCCAGAAGAGGGCCTCGTCCTCGTTCACAACGACGGTGCCCTCGGCGTCGTCGCCGACGCCCGGCGGAGGGGCGTCGACGCAAACCGGGTTGATGACGGCGCCGCCGCGGTAAGGCTCGGCCGGCACGCACAGCTTGAGGCAAAAGCCGTCGTTGTACTCGGCGCCCTGTTTCTCCATGCAGCCGTACCCTCCGTACTCGCACGAGCCGCTGCACGTCTGGCTGCCGGTCGCGCCGCCGGCCGAGGCAGCCTTGGCGAGCGAGCCGAGGAAGGCGGCGAGGTAGAAGGCGTCGCGCGTGACCGGGTGGCTGGAGAGGCTTCCGACCGCGCCGGCGGAGAAGCCCGCCGCCGAGCGCGACACGGCGAGCAGCGCCTCGGCGCGCGAGGCGGCGGCCGCGTCTCGAGGGGTGAGGACGAGGGAGACGCGGGGCGGGGAGGTGGAGTTGTCAGCCTCGAGCGCGACGTCCCAGGGAGGGACCCCGAAGGCCTTTGCGAGGGCGGGGATCACCGCCGCGTTCGCCTTCGGGAAGAGCCACACCGGGTCGAGGGGCAGGGACTGGCGCAGCACCTTGACCGGCGGAGGGAGGCCGTCTGGCTTGGAGAGCGGCGGAGGCGAGGGCGGCGAGGGCGGCGGGGGAGGGGGGGAGTGCGGCGAGGGCGTCGAGGGCGGCTCGGCGTCGAGCGGCGGAGGCGGCGGCGCAGGGCACGAGACGGAGGCGCGTATGGTTGCGATCGGCTGCGAGAGCCGCTCCTCCGCCTGGTGGGCCGCCTCGTCCGCCAACTCCCAAGCGGCATCCTCGGCGCACGCTGCCGGCGCCTCGGAGCGGAGGACGGCGTCCGTTCCAGGCTCGGTGAAGGAGGGGCCAATCTGCCACGAGCCGTCCGTGCCGGCAAAGAGGTACGCGGCCTGCCCGTCGCTCACTCGAGCGTGCACCACCCACCGAGCGAAGAGGTAGATCGGGTTGGTCGGCGCGAAGAAGCCGCCCTCACGGTTGACCCACACGGGCGAGCCCCAGCGGGTCTGGAGGACGGAGCGCTCAAACTCCATCTGCTGGCGCTTCGGCACGAAGAGCTCGGCCCAGCACTCGCGAGGGAGGAAGAAGGCCGCGGGAGGGATCCATTGCCACCACGGCGCCTCGCAGACGGAGAGCGCGACCGTGGCCTGGAGCGTCGAGCAGCAGGAGGTGGAGGAGGCACCGGCGGTGGCCGCAGCGAGGGAGGACGTGGAGGAGGCACCGGCGGTGGCCGCGGCGACGGGAAGGAGAAGGCGCCACACCATTTGGTACGGACGCGTCTTGGGTGTCTGCGACTCAAAAAAATAAAACCGCGATTCCGTTAGCGTCCAACGGATTTGGCCCATGCGCGTGCTCTTCCTCCTGCTCGCCGCGCGCTCGGGAGCCGGAGTGGCGGGGTCGGAGCTGCTGCAACGGCGCGAGTGGCCGCGAGGGGTGGTGCTGGGGCTCTCCAGAGAACGAGGCCACGGCGCGGCGCTCGTGGCGGCGCACGGGGCAGCTTTGAGCAGTGCAGCGCCTCAACAGCAGCTTCAAGCAGTGCAGCGCAACGCCAGCTACCTCTCCAGAGCTGCGCGGCGGCTGGCGGGCCTGTGGGAAAGTGCCGGGCCGCGTGCTCGGAACGCGCACTCGGCTCGCTTGCCGGTGGCCGAGTCAGGCTGGATGGCGAGAAGCGCCAAGGCCTTCCCTGCATTCTGGGCGCTGCCCAGCAGTGCGCAGTACTCTCGCTGCGCCGACGGGCGGCCTCGATGCGGATTGCCGCGAGTGGCGTGGAGCCGGGAGAAGCTGGCGGAGATGAAGGGCGGCAGCGGAGGAAGCGACACCAACAACGAGGGAAACGACCATACCGGTCGTCGCATAACGCTCGGGAGACGAGCAAGAGAGCGAATCAAGGAGGGTTGAGACCCTGGGAAGGCGAGGGGTGAGCCCTCAGGCGGGGGGGTCTACTCAGACGCCGACGCAAGTGAGTGTAGAGTGGTGGTGTGGGGCGTGCAGTATGGTGTTCATTAGCTCCGAGTAGAGGGGGCGTCCTGCAGTTAAGGGGAAACCCGGTACGCGGGGCTAACCCTCGGAGACCCGTGTTTACTTTAAGGCCCTTGCCCTGCGAACGCGCACCCCCGGGGCTAGGGCTCTCTAGCCCGTAACCCGATCCCGATCATCCGGCCCGCTGGGTGCGCTTCTGAGCTCCCCGGCCCTGGATGTGAGGTTAATGACTGCACTCCAAGTGCTCCAAGTGCGCAAAATAACGCCGTGCGTTTGTTTCACTAGCAGGTTGGCTCGCTAGTCGCTCGCCGGCCCGCGCAGCACGCGCGGGCCTTTTTTGTGGTCGGATGTTGGTCGTCTCGAATTTGATCGTGGGCAGGGCGTGAGAAAGCTGGACGGCTCGGTCGATGCGAGCCACCAGCTCGTGAGCGACGGGCGCGACGGGTTCCTCGGCGTAGGCTTGGGCGTGGTGAGCAGCGCCGGCGAGAGAGGGACGGCATGCGGCTCCCAAACGAGCCGCACGGGCTTCATCTGGGCCGCCGAGGCCACCTCCTTGGTCGCGGTGGCGGGCGTGAAGGCGAGGTGGGCTGAGGCAAGCGCTGAACGTGCCGTGCCGCCTTGCGCCCCTGAGGAGGGACGAGTGTGTGGGGTGCCACGGGCGGGGGGGAGCGGTGAGAGGAGAGCGGTGGGCACCCCCACGAGGGGCTGCGCTGACGCCGCCTGCCACCCCACGCACGCCACTGACGCTGTGGGGGCGGCACGATCGAACGCGCTGGTCGGGCGGGCCGTCTGAGTCGCCCAAGCGGTGCTCTGCCGGCCGGTGGACGCGAGGGTGGCCCAAGAGGGCTCAAAGTACGGAGCCGATACCCGGCCGTCCCGGACGCCTGGCACGCGGGCCAATGGTCCAGCGGTCCTGTGCATGGCTGGAGCGAAGGAGGGAGAGCTCAGGAGGGCGACGGGGCAGGGAAGGGGGCGATGCGATGCGGCGAGGTCTAATCGGCGGCGTGGAGAGAGGAGGTGCCAAAAGGCGACTATAAAGAGGCCTCTACGGGTGATATAGTGCGCCATGCCGGCGGGAGAGGTCTCTCACCGCCCCCCGGGCCGTCTCGAAGGGCCGTGCAGCCCACGCCACGAGGCGCTGCTGGCGGGAGCCTGGAAGGACTTGGCCTCGTTGCACCGCGCCGCGTTGATTCGCGACCACCGTCGGCCGCGGACGGCGTCGGCGTGGCGGCCGCGGGCGCTCGCGAGACGCGCCGCTCTGCGCTGGTTCGGTTCGTTCGACTCGTTGTGCCGCCGCACGCCCGGCGGCCGCGGGTCCCAGAAGTGGTTGCGCGGGCCTCTTCCTTTCGGCCGCGGGACGGCGTCGGGCACGTCGTCGGTCGCAACAGCGGCGCGGCGAGCCGTGGCACGTCGTTGCTGGCGCTGGTGGTTTGAGGTCGGCATCGTCCAGAGCTCGGTCGACGAGTCGAGAGCTTCAGCTGGTTCGGTGCCATGTTTGTGCGGTTAGTGGCAAATATATCTCTTTGATAACATCGAAGGCTAGCTTTAAAAAATAAAAAATGGCGGCCTTCTTACTCCGCGGCCCTGGGTGTGAGGCTACCGACTGCACACCAAGTGCTCCAAGCACCAAGTTTGGCCCGTCCTGCGTCCACCGTCCTGCGTCCACCCATACTGCATACAACAAAACAACAACAAATCTCTCTCTCCCATACTGTCCCGGTCGTTGGTCTGACTGGAAGTGTTACCAATCGGCCACTCCTCATTCAGCCCCTACATCTACACATACATGCTTATGTGTACCAGTTCTCGGCCACTCCTCGCTCCTCACCCCCGGGGCACACCGGCTTAGACGCTCGACGGGCACAAAGCCTCACCGCATGAAGGTCTTCACTTCCCGGTCCACCCAGGACGGGCTGCGCCTCGTGCCGTACTTGGCGATGTGGTCCCGATACGGGGGCGGTATCTTGCCGTCGTAGCCATGTATGGCGTGCAAGATGCGGACGTCTGCCCACGAGGCATTGGAGAGGCACATCGCGCGATGAGTATTGTACGCCACTGGCAGCACGCTCCACGTCCAGTTCCTGGAGGTTGCGTGAAAGAGGAGCTCTTGATCGCTCCCGTCGTCCCCATCGCTCTCACTCAATGGCGGGCGTGGCGCCGCGATGGCGACTTGCAGGCTCCTCAGGATTCTCAGGTCAGGTGCGAGAATCATGACGCCGCTGTTGAAGGTTGTCATGCCGCCGCTCGAGCCGTTGACTGGGAACCACACCGCCGCAGGAGCCGGATGGAAGGCGAGGTGGTCGACATTCGCACGCAGCATGACGTCATTGTCGACGAAGATCACGCGACTGTAGTGCGTCAGCTCGAGCGCGCGGAGCTTGTTGAATGCCTGCTTGTGCATCGCGCTGGCCCACGCCGGAGGGTCCACTGGCTGCGTGGGCCAAAGACTGGCACCCATTTCCGTCATCTGCGATTCGGCTGCCGCGTTTCTCACGCCCCCCACCATCAAGGTGATAGGGAGAGTTGTGTGGACGTCGCGAGCCGATTGTAAGAAGAAGGCTGCCCGCTTCGTCTCCCGTAGGTAGGCATCATGGGGATGGGTCAGGTACTTCTTGCGAACGAGATGCGGCCGGAAGATGAGAGAGAGGACGATCGTGGCGCTGGCCGTGGATCGCTGCTTGCGCAGCAGAAGCTGACTCCGCCCCGTTCCGCACAGTGGCGATGGCTTGCTGTGCCAAAGCGGCGAGAGGCATGACCAGGCGCTGAGGCTATCGCAGGCCCTAGACTTGGACCATGCAGCTTCCGCCCTTCGCGCGCGTCTGCTCTGCTCACTATCGCCCTCTGAGTGGACTCGCTGATGCCGACCCTTCCCCTCCATAGCGCAGGCTACCTCGTTGCGGGATCGGCAATAGCGTTCTGTCCTCATTATGGCAGGCCCGCAGCACTGGCGAGCGCCTCCGGGCCTCTGTGAGCAGCCGCGCCCTCCGCACGTGCCGCAAGTCGCGTTGCAGCAGATCTGGCGGGTCGGGTTTGCGACACCAGCCAGGCACTTGTCCTCGGGTAGTGGCATGATGTAGGTGGACCGCCGTCGCCCAGACAACCAGTGTCGCTCAGGCGATCGAGGCGTTCGCGCGCGCGCGCCGCTCACAGACTATAGTCAGCACGTGTCGCCACTGTGTTGGGGGTGTGCACGTTTTGGCTTTTGCGACACGACAACCTCAACTTTTGCGCGGGCACGTCCACGTGCGCCAATGACGGTGCGTACGTGACCTGTGATCTGTTAGGGTCCGTCCGCAGGCGCATTTTGTATACCGAGGCGGTGCCCGGTGCCGAGCGAAGGCAGAGCCCACAGGTCGGACCTTAAGTGTTAAGACAGACAGCATTGTAGATCACTGGGCGAGGGTGATGGCGTCCCCGTCGGGAGGGGCTGTCTGCAGTCTGGCGCGGAGGAGAGCAACCAGCGGCGTCCCGCCACATCCGGATGACCTCTCCGCGCGTTGCCCTAGGTTGTGCCAGTCAGCCCCGTTGGGACATGGGAGGTAGCGGCTGCCGCTCGTCCTAGCCAATCAGCCTTAAAAGCGACCTCGGCGTCCTAGAGTAATCCGGCCGGCCGTTCGGTCTCTTCCTGTGTGTGAGCACGTCTCCCGCGGAGTTTTCGGTTTTTGTCTTTTCTTCTCCGCCCCGCCGCAATCAACCATCATCCATCATCATGGAGCATGATCATGTGAGATCTCCAAGGAAAGAGGATACTGAAAACTCTGAGACACACGAGGCCACGACTCACGTTTTGTGCAGTGCAGCGCGTATTGGCGATCGCCGCCTGAGCCCATGAGACTGCGCCGCCCCAACGGCAACGCCGGCTCGTGCGCCTCCAGCCGCCGGTCCGGCTCGGCGACCTCTCCCCGCGAACCGTGCGCGCCGCATCGCCGCGGGCAGCACTCCTACTCCGCCTTCCACGGCAGGTTCTCGCCCCACTCGTCGTCGTCGTCGTCCTCCTCCACCTCCTCGTCGTCGTCGCTGTCGGCGTTGTCGAGCTCGTCCTCCTCCTCCTCCATGATCGCCTTCTCGTGCGAGTTGAGCGCCTCCTCCATCGCCTTGATCAGAGCGCCGCCCTCCTTCGAGTCCGCGACGAGCTTCGCCGCCTCCGCCTGCGTGAAGAACTCCTGCGGCGCGGAGAGGGTTAGGGTTAGGGTTAGGGAAGAACTCCTGCGGCGCGGAGAGAGGCGTCGCGCAGTGAGCGCGCAGTGCCTCGCGACTCACTCTCGTGTCCGCTAGCCGCGCCGCGCCGCGCCTTGAAGACGTAAAAGTGCTCCACCGACATGACGTCGTCGTCCTCCTCGAGCTCGTCGTCGTCGTCGTCGTCCTCCTCCTCCTCCTCCTCCTCGCCGCCCTCCTCCTTTGTGATGATGCCCGCCTCCTCGGCCGCCGCCTCGTCCTCCTCGTCCTCGTCCTCGTCGTCCGACTCGAGGTCGCTAAAGTCGTTGGACATGTCAATCTCGCGCTCCACCTACGGCGACGCGCGGCGTCATTGTTGGGCTTGTGTGAGCGCGAGCGGCTCTGCGAGAGCGCTCGACGCCTTGCGGTGTGTCGCGTCGGCATTGGGAGTGAGGGGCGAGAGGAGGTGGTGGTGAGGGTGTCGCAGGCGGCGGAAGGAGCCAGTTGGCACACCTCGTCGCGCCAGAAGAGCGCCAGCTTCATCATCGGCAACCGAGCATCCTCCGGCAGCAGCGCGAGGATGTCGCCGCCGTGGGCGCTGAAGTCCTCGTGCGTGCTGATGGTCAGCTGGTCCTCGTCCTCGTGCTGCGACGTCTCGCATACCGACATGAGCACCTTGCACACCTCGAGGAGCACCTCGCCAAACTCTTTGACGTCCACCGACGGCGCCTTGGCCTTCTTCGGCGCAGCCTTGGGCTTGGCGGCGGGTTTGGCGGCGGCCTTGGACTTGGCGGCGGCCGGCTTGGCGGCCGGTGCTTCCTTCTCAACCACCTTCTGCGCCTTTGCAGCCGGGGCGGCCGCCTTGGACGCCGCACGCTTGGGAGGCATTAGTGATGAGTGGGAGCGTGGACAGGGAAACTGCTTCGCTCTCGAGGTCTCGTGGAGCAGAGCGCCGGGGCCGGCGTGCCCCAATTGGGCGGGGCCTCTACAAGCCAGCAAAAAAGAAATCGTACGCCCCCGGCGGCACGGGGGCAGGCGCGGGCCTACTACTGGTTGCGCTCTCCTAGTTCTCCTGCTCCTGACAAAAGGGACAGCGACAGGCTCGCAGCGAGAAGGCCGACTCGTTTCTTTTCCCGTAAAATTCTTTTCCTTCCACTCTCGGAGAGAGCTCTCTGGCTGCTCACTGCCTCTCTGTGCTCGCTCCAGCTCTCTCCTCTGCTCACTCTATCCCGTGCATATGCTCGCCGTTTTGGTGCCGCACCTCGCCGTCGCTCCCGTCGCTGGCGCGTCGCTGCCGACCGCCACCTGGCGCGCGCTGCACGTGGACGGCGCGCTGCTCGTCGTCGACAAGGGCGCCGGCCTGCTCACCGTGCCAGGAATCGGCGAGGCCAAGGCCGACTGCCTCCTCTCCCGTCTGGCCGACGCTGGCCACCCGGAGGTTGGCCACGCGGCGCACCGGCTGGACAGGGACACGTCGGGCGTCCTCGCGCTGGGCCGGACGCCGGCGGCGCACAGGTCTCTGTGCGTCCAGTTCCAGGAGCGGCGGGCGTCCAAGCGCTACGAGGCGCTGGTGCTGGGCTGGCCCGCCGAGGACGCGGGCGAGGTCGACCTGCCGATCGGCAAGGTCCGGCGGCCGGGCGGCGCGGCGCGCATGCGCGTCGCGGCCGGCGCGGCCGGCGCGGAGCAGGCGCGGCCGAGCGTCTCCACGTGGCGCGTGCTCGAGCGCACGTCGCTGCCCGACAGCGGCGTGGGGGTGGCGCGCGTCGAGCTCGTGCCCGTCACCGGCCGCGCGCACCAGCTGCGGCTGCACATGGAGGCGATCGGCCACCCCGTGCTGGGCGACGAGCTGCACGGGAGCGACGAGGCGGCGGCTGCCGCGCCGCGCCTCTGCCTGCACGCGAGCGCGCTGACGCTGGACCACCCCGATGGCAGAAGCGGGAGGGTGACGTTCAGGTCGGCGGCGCCTTTTTGAGCTCCAAAGAATGAAGTAAGAAAACAGACAACCCAAGGGAGGGATGGGAGGACGCGGGTGGACGGCACGCCGCCACGCACACAGGGATTTTAAGGAGCAGAGGGGTGTGGTGCGCTAGCCGTCGCCCACCCTTGGGCGTCCGCCTCTCTTCCTATCTCTCTTCGCTGTAGGTATGTTGTTGGCAAAGGAAGACACAGAGCTCACACAAAATCACAGTGGGTGGTAAGCGAACGAGTCACTTAACAGGGGTCGATTAGTGCGGGCCACCCTGTCCAGAGGCGGAGGTGCCTTTCTGGGATCTTGCGATCGAGTCTATGCAACCCTCGGCCACGCTCTCTTCGCGGTCTCTCTCCGATTCTCGCTTCAACCTTCGTGCCACCTTGCGGTCGCCCCCTTCTCTTCGTGCGCTCCGGCGCTCTTTTTCTTCCTTCGGCCGAAGCGCACCTTCGCCGACGCGTTCGCGCCGACAGGGAGAACACAGATGAGGCATGCGCTCCGGCTGTGCAACGCCGCTGCGCTGCGCCTGCCCGCGGCGGCGCACTTGCTCCCCGCTGCGAGCGGCGCGACGCGCTCGCACTCCGCCGCCGCCTACGTCCAGAACAACGACCGCAACTTCCCCGACATCACTGTCGAGTTCCGAGCCGCCGCGCCCGGCTCGCTGCCCGACCCATTTGCGCTAGTGCAGCCGCAGCTGCGGCCACTCGACTCGTCTATACGCGAGCTGGTCGGGACGGACCACCCGGTCCTGGCTGCGGCGGCGCACCACTTCTTCGAGCGGGCCGGGAAGCGGTTCCGTCCGACGCTCGTGCTGCTCTCGTCTGCCGCTGCGGCGGGCGGCGATCCGGCGGACGCTCGGCAGCAGCGCCTAGCGGAGATCACAGAGATGATCCACGCGGCCTCGCTTCTCCACGACGACGTGATTGACGTCGCCGACACGCGGCGCGGCGCCAAGACGGCGCACCGCATCTACGGCAACAAGGTCGCGGTGCTCGCGGGCGACTTTCTGCTGGCGCGACCCGACTCGCCTCGCCCCAGCCCCGCCCCGGGCCACTGGCCGACCCCCTCGCCCTCTCTCTCGGGGGCGCTGGCTGCGCCACCCCCGCCATTGCCCCCCCCCCTGCCACCAACGCCGGCCGGCTCCCTCTGCTGGGTTAGGCCCGCGCCTCGCTGCTGCTGGCGCGGCTGAAGGACGTGCAGGTGGTGGAGCTGCTCGCGACGGTGATCGAGGAGATGGTGCAGGGCGAGATGATGCAGGTCCGCGCGCTGCCGCAGCAGCTGCTCGAGTTCGAACACTACGTCGACAAGACGTACCGCAAGACGGCGGCGCTCATGTCCCTCTCGTGCGAGGCGGCCGTGCTGCTGGGAGGGAAGCCGCCGGACCACGCCGAGGCGCTGCGGGCGTACGGGCGGCACCTCGGCATCGCCTACCAGGCGGGAGGGGGGGCAGACGGTGGGAGAGGGACGGTGGGGGAGAGGTTCTCTCCCCGTCTGGCCCTAGCCCCAGTTATTTGGCTCCGCCACGTAGGGCCCCCCCTCCGCGGACGGCAAGAAATTGCTTCGCCGTGATTTAACCTTGCGTTTTTGGACTTGAGATACCGTTCCTCTCGGAGGGTTCCGGGCACTTGGGCCGTTTTCTAA